GGAAATTGTCTAGTATTCACTGTAATTATAGTAGAATTCTTATTATAAAGCAGTTATACTATAAACTTCTGTAATATTAATACTTTGTTATATTCGCGAAATGTTTTCAACTGCCTCTTATAAAACGTGGTAATTGATAATTTCATTATATTATATTGTTCCGAAAATAGTGTCCGATTTTAGAATAAACCTTTTGCGTTCTGATATATCATTGTTGTAACCTAGGGAAGGTTACTAAATAGAATAATCACACGAAGGTTGGTAATGAATGATAATACTTAGGACAAGAACAATATATATAAGATTCGCCAGCTGCGCGTAAAACAAGTAGTCAACTGCTAGAAGTGAGTCAAGTGAATTTCACAATGAATTTCCAACTGAAGATTAACATACAGTATTTACTACTGTATTTATGTGAATGGGGACACACCCATTATCGTCCGTAGCTATGCTACATTTATTAAACTAGTTGTACAAAAATATATTAATTAAAGTGTCTTCTTTGTTAAATTTATATCAATCTTTTTTCGGAATTTAGTTTTAAACATTATATCCCCATCATTTTGAACATGAAAAAAGAAGACAAGCGTATATTTATGTTGCATGAGTTCAAACTTGGTCACAATATTCCTCAAACTGCTGTCAAAATTAGAAGAGCATAGGGTGGAGGGCGTGAAGGATCCACTTGTGATCGGACTGTATGGTGCTGGTTTCTGAAATTTCATAGTGGGTATATGAGTTTTGACGTTCAAGATTGTAGAGGACGTTCAACTAGCCGAACAAAAACCCACGTCAAAACCTCAGGTAACGGGTGTCAGAATTTCAACAATATCGAACCATCTCAAGAAAACTTGACAAGGTGAGGATTACTAAGCGATTTTAAAACAAAAATATACTACCCAGTGTAAGAAGAAGTTCACCAGCAAAAGATAACAGACCAAGGTATTCATCCAAAAGCACAGAGGAATGGTTGAAAAGAAAGAAACGGACGATTTTAAACTAACACAGAGTCCTGATCTCAATCCCTGTGAGGATCTATGTGATCAGTTGAAATCTAACATTGTCGAAATGGATACTTTAATTAAGTTTGAACAAATAGCAAAGGAAGAATGAGAGAATTGTTTTTAATAATTTCGCCCCAATATTGATTTTAAACTTTTGAAGGTCAAAGTTGACTGGAAAACCAGAAGCCGGAAGGCAGTTCCCCATGCGAGAAATTACCAATTGAGAAGTAAAAGAAGCTTATCGATGTCTGCCAGAAAGAGTTGAAACACCTTGAATATGTAAAAAGAAAAGCTGAGCTTAACTTTTTATTTTTGACATGTATTCAATATTAGTCATGATGCTTCTCAAACTGCTGCCAACATTCACAGAACATAGCGTAAAGTATCCACTTGAAATTGGACAGAACGCTACTGGTTTTTGTTATTCCGCAATGTGGATACGAGTTTTGAAGCTTAAACTGGTAGAGGATGTTCATTTGTAATTGACAATCAACATCTCGGATAATGGATGTCAGCATTTCAACATTATTGGACCATCTCAAGAGAATTGGCAACGTGATGGAACTCGATAAATAAGTTCCACATAAACTCATTGAAAGTCAAAGAGTTCAATCTTTTGATGTGTGTTCCATGTTACATCAACGAAATTCAAATGATCCATTTCTTGATCGAATACTGGCTTGTAATGAGAAATGGATCCTTTATGACAATCGCAAATGATCGGTTCAGTGGCTTAATCATGACAAATGATCCAAAGTCGTTCTTAAAACGAAATTGAACCAACAGAATATTACGGCCATTGGCGTTATCTATTGCAACTTTCTGGGATAACACAGCCGAAGATTACTACCAACAACTGTGTACAATAGACATTCAGTTTGGTAAAATGCGACCTGCAGTGGTTAATCGAGCACGGGGTGGGAGGTGACGAATCCAATTTTGATCGATGCTGGTTTCTGAAATTCCGCAGTGGAGATACGAGTCCTGAATGTCAAGGTGGTAAAGGACATTCATCTGATATTGACAATGAACATATGAAAACACTAGTCAAACAAAATCTACGTCAAAGTGTCAGAGTGCAATGGTGTCAGAGAAAAGTCTTAGACAATAGGTGACAGCATTTCAAGAATATCGGAATATGTCTCAAGAAAATTGGTAAGGTAAAGAAACTCGATAAATCGGTTCCACATGAAATCAGTGAAAGTCAAAGAGTTCGACGTTTTGAAGTGTGTTCTATACTGCATCTGTGAATGGCCGATTTTTTGATCGAATAGTGATTTGTGGTGAGAAATGGATCCTTTATAGCAATAGTAAACAATCGGCTCAATGCCTTGAAACCGAAATTGCACCAACAGAAGATAATGGTAACTGTCTGGTGGTCCGCCATTTGCGTTATCCATTAGTTTTCTGGAATCAAACCAGAGCATCATTACCGAAGATTACTGCCAGAAACAGGATGAAATGCACATTCATTTATATATATATATATATATATATATATATATATATATATATATATAGAGAGAGAGAGAGAGAGAGAGAGGGGGTGATAGGGAGAGAGAGAAATTAATGAAACTCAATAAATCGGTTCCACATGAACTCAGTGAAAGTCAAAGAATTCGACGTTTTGAAATGAAGATTCTGCATCTCCGAAATTCGAATGATTCATTTCTTGGTGGAATAGTAACTTGTGATGAGAAATGTATCATTTTTGAAAATCGGAAATGGCTTCATAAGGATGAAGGATCCAAGAACTTTCTAAAACCGAAATTGCACCAACAGAAGATTATGGTGACTATCTGGTAGTCCGCCATTGACGTTAGCCATTACAGCTTTCTGGAATCTAACCAAAGCATCATAGTAAAATCAAATCAAATGGATGAAATGCATACTCGCTTAAATTGCCAAGGTGTCATATGGAAGAAGTTCAACAACATGAGATACGTAACTTTACCATATCCACCATATTCTACTGATCTCTAGTCTACTGACTACCACAACAAGATTTTTTTTCTTTTAAGTCAAAAGACATTCCACTGCAAAAAAAAAAAAGATGCGGAAATTGCATTTAAAGATTTCTTGGCCGATATTAAATTTTTATCGTAAAGACATAAGTAACCTCTTAACTCGATGGCAGAAATGTATAGATGTTCAGGGTTCCTATTTTGACTGATTTGAACAATGTTTGAAGACATTCATTACAGAATAAATGTTGATTCTAAAACCGGGCGTTATTTTGGAAAATAATAATAATAATAAAAATAAACGAAAGATAATCTAAATGAATATTTATAATTTAAAAGATTTAAAAAGAAATAAACTTATGTCTTGATTGGATTCACTTCTGATATTGTTTCCAGACACCTCCCAGTACTGACGAACATTGGGATCGTCTCCCCACATCGATATTATCCTATTTTGACTGATTGTGAGAGTTAAGAACAAAATGATAATAATTTAAATAAGCCATTTGAAAACACTACAGTGCTAATGCTGTGAAATACGCCACAGTACTGATAGCGAGTTAAATGATATCTTGCATTATTTACATTTATCAGACTGTTATCCTCATCTTCATTGCCATTTTCACAACGTACGCTTTCTCCTTCAGATTTATTCCGTCCACCCAGGGTAGATTGTTCTAGTTCCACGTACCATGCTCCTTCCGGATGTTTCAGTTATTTCCATTGAGCTCAACTCTCCAAGTTTTTGGTTCACCACTACTGTGGCCTGGTATTGAACTCACAATTATTTGGGTCTAGTCACTAGATCTAACCAACGATTTTATCCACCTGAAGAAGGCCGTAAATTGTAAAATCGAAACACCTCGTTATCGAAAATCAGCTCTGAATTGTAACATACAAAACCCAATAAAACTAAGACATTATTTAATTAGAAAAGTTTCTTAATGAATAAGGACAATATCGTCTGAAGCTAAAATATTTTTTCCGATGAAAAATGAATTTTTACAAGAATTGTTTTCTTTTTTTTAATTTTAAATAGAAAATGTGATAAAGTTAAATATTTTAAAATTAAGTTACAATCCGTAGATTTTAGGGAATACTGTTATTTAGATCTATCTTTACAGATTATAAATTTGAAAGCTTATTGCAGACTGCGAAACACTCGTATTTTAAAAAAGAATTTAACATTGTTTTTGAGTGTGCATAAAAACATTTTTTTTTTTTGTTTTTTTCAATTATATGGATGATCGGACATACCATTAAAAAATGTCACACGTTTTAAGAGTTGTTTCTCCCGGCGGTAATAAATTTGCGTTTTCGTTCTGCTAGAGGGAAATTAACCGGAGATAACTGATAACTGACATCCATTAAAACATGGCACGTGGAACTAGAACAGTCTACCCCAGTGAGCGAAATAAAGGGTTCAGTTCGACATTTATTTAGCAGCAATGCATTTTTGATAAAAATTTTTTTAGTAGCAATGCAATTTTTGATAAAAGAAATCATTTTTGAAAAAAATATTTGCAGCAGTTCATTTTTGACAAAAAAATATTTATAGCAATACATTTTTGTAAAAAAAATTAGACATGTTAACAAGAAAATTCAATTTTGGCATTAAATGACCCATTAAGAGTTGATATGCTGCTAAACAAACAAATATACAATGTAACAGAGGATACAAAAATGTGATACCAAAATCCAAATTCGCATGGCAATAGCAAATGTTGTTTTTTAGATCCATAACAAATTAGTAAGAAACATTGATTGATTCATCTTTTTACGCCTTATCAACCCTTTTCAGGTTATTTAAAGCCAGAAAATATTTTAGATTGTAAAAGTTTTTTGTAGGTAATAATGATTTTAGTAAGATAAGTCTTACTAATTAACCCATAGCTGGGGAGATGAGGTGGATTCATACTTTCCCAAGGTTATTTGTGTGTAGGTGAATGTAATGAACACAATGGGAACTGGACCTCGTCTCTCTGATTCAAAATTCTGAGTCGTTATACATTACACCACCCGCACATCCAAGCTTACAGCACCTGATATTCCCAAGAGGTCATCCATGAAGGTACTAGTCAAGTTCGACGTTGCATAACTTCAGTGATCATACGGGAGCCGGTGTTTACACGCGATTCGGCCGTAAGTCTACGAAGAACCAAGAAAATGCCGTCAAAAACTAAGAATCGAGCGCTAAACTGCAATGTAATATTCACCCTCTTATATGGCAATGAATGCCGAAAAATATCCTCACAGATGAATATGAGATGACGGTAACTGATATAATGGAATATGCATACAACTATGTTCCCCCTTACTGGAATATGATTGGCTGGTGTCCGTCATAAATGCCGACGGACGTGTAGGTACGACAGAGTCAAAGAGCCTTAATCTGAGAGCTAAGTCTATAACGACGCCCATTAGACTACGCCATTGATATACACTTCTTACCGGCGACTATGACGCGTACCAGTCGATTACTGCTACCGTATTCTACTTGGTTATAGTAGCCAAAACCACTTAGCTACTTCGTTCAAATATATCCCTTTCTGGGACATATCAGTAACTGAAATGTTGTTCTACAGAAGGATACTGAGAATTCCATCGACGAGTATGTAACGAGAAAAGAAAACGAGAAACGAAAAGTTAGAATCAGTAATAGACTGCTGAAATTTCTTGGACACATAATAATTTAGGAGCTTTTGACAATTTGACACTTAACAGGACCTATAGAATGCTCAAAAGGACATGGGTGGCAGGAGGTCAATTGCTTGACGAGCTTGCGTGAATAAATAGGAGGTGGGATAGTAAGAAGACAGGCATTTTTAAGAGGTACATGGGATAGGAGGTTGTGGAGAGACGTGATCACCCACGTCCTGAAGGGACATGGCACATGGCACATGAAAGAACGTCGAACTATACTCTTTGAATTTAAGAAAATTCGGTAATTTTGACAAAGGTAGGAAAAAGGGTGCCACTAGGTTAGCAGGTCGGTCCCACCTTTTCACAGTCGAAACGGTTAAATGTGGCCGTCTCTTCTGTGGCAACAGCTTTTTACCTCGCGCTTCCCGTTTGTGTAACTCCCTTCTTCTTACTTGCTTCCCTGATAGTTATAATCTTCAAATCTTCAAATGTAATATCAATCGACATCTTCTGATGCCTTAATCTTGTTCCCCGTCCTTCTCTTTATCCTTTCCTCAAACACACCTCTTTACGCTTGCTCTCACTCACTGTAACCCCATTTCATGCTAACGGCACCCTCGCCTTGCATGGGGCGAAATGCTTAAAAAGAAAATACTTAAAAAAAAAAGAAAAAAAATCGATTGAAATGTGGGCTAATATCTGGACTGAAACCCATATTTTTTTTTTTTAGTTGATACTTATTTAAGCGTATTGGAGTGGGGGCTAGCCTCCTCCAGAAAGTACAACCCTGGTGTTGTAGTGGGGTTTTATCTAGACCCCGATAGGGAATAATACTTTTAATATATATATATATTGGAGAAGAAGGCCTAGCCCCTAATCCCCACTTCTGGTATTGTCCTAGCGGGATTTTACCTCGACCCCACGATTTTCAGTTATTTAAAAATATAGGAGAGGGAGGCTTAGCCCCCAAATCTCCACTCCAGAACGTTCCTCAGATCAATTTTCAATCAACTTTTATTTCATAGTTACCGAATTTTCCTACCTGGTTAAAATTAAGGAAAATTTCCGTTGCCGTGTTTTCAGTTATCGAATTTTTCTGGTAACCATAAATTTCTATACTCCTATTTGTTATTTTAGTGTACTAAGTTACCTGCTAATTTTATCAGGACCACCGTCATTTGTAACAGAAGTTAGTGCAATGTAGATCTGAGCTAAGTGCGGGTTAGGGTCAGAGTTAATCTGTGGTGCCTGCGGCATCTCTAGAGAAAATGTCGTGGGAACTGAGTAATTTTTGTTGCCAATCCAAAGTACGCAAGGGATTCCGACTCTAAGGCGGTCTTGTGCCATGAAGAGTTCGGGGTGGGGTGGATAAATACCTAGCGAGTTGAATGAATACAAACAACGGCTGTGAAAACTTTTTCAGAAGGGACATTTCAGTAATGATTGAATGTAAGAAATATTCAACTTGTGGGGAAAAAATATACGAAATACATATGAACTTTAGTTTTTTGGGTTTTTTTTTTAATTTAATTCTGAAAACCTCGTAATGGAATTCCGCCCGGAAATTGCTGTAATCAAAAAAGAAAGATAGGGAGGGCAGGAAGAAGACGAAGAAGAAAAAAAAAAAAAGAAACGTCGCCTGACCAAGCAATAAAATAAATTCCCGCGTGTTTAACTGGTCACGTGTCTCTAAAAAGGCCACGATGCCATCTGCTGTTGAAGTTTCAGGCTTTTTGTTTTAAATTGAGACTGCGGTAGCAACAGGCTTTTCTGGGAACATAATTATCACTCTGATGGAAAAGGACTGGAAAGAAAGAAAGAAAGAAAGAAAGAAAGAAAGAAAGAAAGAAAGAAAGAAAGAAAAAGTATTACAAAAAAAAAAAAAAAAAAAAAAAAGAGAGAATCCAAGACAGACAAAAGGAAAGAACTGAATGAAGGGTGACATAAAAAGAAAGACTTTGAGGAAAAAGGGAAAAAAACAATGGAATGAAGAAAAAAAAGAAAGATTAGAAATTAGAAATATTGATTGAAAATAGAATGAAAGTCGGAAGAAAGAAACAAAGAAAAAAGAATTCAAGAAAGAAAGTAAAGCAAAAAAGGATAAATTCAACAAAATAGAAGAAAGAAAGAAAGAAAGAAAGAAAGAAAGAAAGAAAGAAGCGAAGAACGATGAAAAAGCAAAGAGGAAATTAAGAAAAATAAATAATGGCCAAAAGATGAAAAGAAATGAAGAAAAGTCAAAAACCATATAAGATAGAATTGTTGAAAGAAAGAAAGAAAGAAAAACATATAAAGCAACAAAAAACAAATGAAAGAATAAATGAACTAATGAATGAATAAAGAGGGGATAAAGGAAGAACGAATGAAATAAAAAGAAGCACAAAAAAGAAAGAAATGACAAGAGAGAAAACGAAAACAAGAAAGAAATGGGGATGTTAAACAAAGAGAGAGAAGCAAATTGGCAATAAGAAAGAAAGAATAAGAGACGAAAAGAATGAAATTGAACGAAAGAAAAACAAATGACGAAATCAAATGAAATTTAAGATTGTAAAAAAAAAGCAAAACAATCATTAAATTAAACACGTTTAAAAAAAAAAAGAAAAAAAAAACAGTAGATAGAAAAAGTTTAGTCAAAGTCCTGCAATGATTACGTAAACAAAGGATTACCTTACAGTGGGCTGACATATTAAATGGCGTCACACGTATTCTCAAGACAGTCGACATTTTAGGCGCATAACAGTCTCACTCATTTCTAACACTCTATCTCTCTTTCTCTCCCCCCCTCCTCTCTCTGTCTCGCTGTCTGTCTGTCTGTCTCTCTCTCCCCCCTCTCCCTCTGTCTCGCTGTCTGTCTGTCTGTCTCTCTCTCTCCCCTCTACCTCTGTCTCGCTGTCTGTCTGTCTCTCTCTCCCCTCTCCCTCTGTCTCGCTGTCTGTCTGCCTCTCTCTCTCCCCCTCTCCTCTGTCTCGCTGTCTGTCTGTCTCTCTCTCTCTCCCCTCCCCTCTGTCTCGCTGTCTGTCTGTCTGTCTCTCTGTCTCTCTCCCCCCTCCCTCTGTCTCGCTGTCTGTCTGTCTGTCTGTCTCTCTCCCCCTTCTCCCTCTGTCTCGCTGTCTGTCTGTCTCTCTCTCTCCCCCCTCTCCCTCTGTCTCGCTGTCTGTCTGTCTGTCTCTCTCTCTCTCCCCCTTCTCCCTCTGTCTCGCTGTCGGCCTGTCTCTCTCTCTCCCATTCATACACTCTGTAATTTTCTTTGTTTTACTAGTAGATCCCGGTTAATTGGGACACAAAAGAAATAAATTGTCGAGAAGTTGGCTGGATTATTCCAAACAGCATACACTGACGTGCCAAAAGTTTTGGGATATCAGTATGTAAAGGCAGTGGTAGTTGGCGCCACTGTATCTTGACGTTATGGAAATGGTCAGTTTAAGGAGTCTCGTCAGCTCGGAAATATGATATGGATGTAAGATTTCATGAAGTCATTTTTGGCCATAGGTCTCTGATTGGGACCTGGAAGAAAATGTGTATACAACAGAAGCCCAAGGAAATAATAATAATAATAATAATAATAATAATAATAATAATAATAATAATAAATTTATTCTACAAAAAATAAAATAAAATTACATTTTATTCAATTCCATATTCACCGTTATTTGTAATGGCTTTGATACACTTTGATTAAAATTCCATAGCGCGATACCTAAGTTTTAAAAATGAATTTTTTAAAAATGAAAAAGAAGCTTTTATTTTAGTTTTAATTTCAAACTTATAGATTAACCCTTTGAGCCCTGACCCTCGTTTTACTGGTCATAGAGAAAAATGACGTAATGCCCAGTCACCGATTGAACGGTGGGTAAACACTTGTAACTATTTTTATATTTACCATGAAACATTACATACCAATTATTTGCGAATTTTGACTCACGAGCCCAGGCAGAAGAGTTGAAATTGTTCAGGAACGCAAGGCACAAAGGGTTAAATAGAATATTTCCAATAAGATTTCTTCTGTATTTCAAAACTAATTTAAATTGAATCAAAGGAGTTTTCGTTTTGAAATTGCTAGTATAACTGATTTTCCCGCCATTTTTTTGCAATCTATCATCACGATGTAATTCTCTTCATTAAAAAGTCTTCCAAACCTAAAATATAATTTTCTGAAACTTTATTTGAGGAATAAATATAGATATTTGACTTTCTTTATATTATAATTTATTCTTACTTGCTTACCGAAGTAACACACACACACACACACACAAGTAAGAATAAATTATAATATAAAGAAAGATAAATATATATTTTTCGTTTCTAGGAGGTGGGTAATCATGACTCTCCATAATTTGTAGCACTTAGTAAATTTTCTCTTTTTGCTCTCTCGTACATCCTGTTCTGCTAAGCATGTTAGGAAGATTATACGCCGCTTTCCTCTGTCCCTCTTGCCTTCAATATGTCCTATGTTAAATTTTCTAAGCCCTCTTTACATAATTAACATAAAAATCGGTCTAATTTAAAAGAATTCACATACATTCAAGTTAGAAAAACAGGTTGTTAAATAAAATCGTCCTCAAACACGATGACGTCATCAATATGGCCTCGGAAACAACTGTATACTTGAATCAGGTGGTTCTCCTTTATGTTGGCCATCGCACTCATAATAGTGGGCCACAGTGAATCATTATTATTATGAGGAACCTGGTTGGTCTCCATTTCGACGACGCCCAAGTCATAGTAGTCCAGGAGAGGTCAATCAGGAGAGCTATGGGGACATGTGTTGGGGGAGTAACATGATGATTCGTGTAATCATAAACAACAGGAAGTCTGACACAGAAAACTGAAGGGGATAGGAATATGGAAAGATGCCTTTCGGAAACTAAGCCAATTATTAAGGGATATAAATATTTTCCTAGAAAAAAATAAAAAGTGTTGGGCTGCTATATTATAATCAATCACCTAAATGGCACTGAATTAAAAGAGGAAGAACAGAGATAGTTTCTACTAACGAATGCTGAGAATAACCTGACAGAATAAAGGAGGAAGTCTTAAGGAGAATCGAAACTGCAAGAAAAACCTCTGCTAAGAATCAGAAAAAAAATTAGACACTTTCAATTATATATATATATATATATATATATATATATATATATATATATATATATATATATATATATATATATATGTGTGTGTGTGTGTGTGTGTGTGTGTATGTGTGTGTGTGTGTCATTCTCAGACAGTACTGTTTCACTGTATCACAGCTCCTCAGTGCGACTAGACAACCGAATGTCTCAAGCCCGGATCGAAACCCAACCGATTTGGTAAAGAAAAGAAAATTTCTAAATTATCCTCCTGACAGTAATATTATCCTCCCATCATATAATCGTATCGTATAATCCGCTATTAACAACTGGATAATATTTCTGCGAAACTGATTTAGGAAGACAAGCGTTAAAAGATCTTTTGTCTACGATTAATGCTGATCCTGTTTTTTTTTTAGTTTTTCTTTTGTATTTTAGTCGGAGGATAAGTATAGTCGTTATTATTATGATTATATATATATATATATATATATATATATATATATATATATATATATATATATATATATATATATATATATATATATATATATACATCGCTCTGGAGCGGGTGATCTCTGCATACGGCACCTTTGGGAAGTGCCTGAAACCATATCACGGATTCACCCAAGACTTACTGTAGAGCATTTAGATATATTTAGTTTTATAAGCGTTATCCTCTAGAAATACACATTTGGATCCTGTTTCTTTTTTTTTTGTACTTTAGTAGGAGGATAAATATAGTCGTTACTATTATATATATATATATATATATATATATGTATGTATGTATGTATCGTTCTGGAGGGGATGATCTCTGCATACGGCACCTTTGGGAAGTGCCTGAAACGATACCACGGATTGACCCAAGCCTTGTGAGTGAATTTGCGTAGGCGGAACGCTTGGGGCCGTCGAGAGCTCTGCTAGCACATAGTTGCAAGTCATCGTGACCGAGGGTTTGTGTGTGCTGGTGTTGTTCAGATTGTTGATCATTCTAGATGACACGCTCTCCCCCAGAAACTGAAACTAAGGTTTGCTCAGCATAGTTGCAGTATAAACCACAGGTGGGCACTGTGGGTGTTGAGCAAACACTAATAAGCCCGGAGCCAGAGTCTGCAATAGGGATTGGACAGCCGCCCTAGTAGACGGTATCCTCGAATACGAGTGCCCAGCTATATATATATATATATATATATATATATATATATATATATATATATATGCACATTTCATTGAATATGATTTAATAAGTTGTTTTTATTTAGTTTTTTTATACAATTTCTCATGCGATCTAAGATTTTTTTTCTTTTCAGATGATAAACTATATATATATATATACAAACTGTCCGAATGTTCTTTTTATCCGAGTGCTTTCGGCTATACATTTAGCCATTTTCAAGGATTAAATATTTTAACTGTTAAATAAGAAATAGTTTGTTGTATGTATGTTTTATAAAATGTTTTCATTTTTCAAAACACGGTCAAGATATTGTGTCCGTGTTCAAAGATAATATTATTAAGTGTTGTTTTTTTTTGTTTTTATTAATAAGGCTTCCATTATTTTTACCCTTTTTTTTGCATGTAGATGATGCTATAAGTGTTGTCAACAAGTATGTTACGAATAGTGTCCGGTAGGTCTCCATGAATATTTAAATGAGATCTAATTGAGCTATGATCAGAATTATATATATATATATATATATATATATATATATATATATATATATATATATATACTTTATTATAGGATGTTACATTCGAACATATGTAAAACCGTTACATATATCTAAGGTTGATATAGCGTTTTTTACATATGTTCAAACGTAATATTCTATAGTAAAGAATATTGCTCTAATATTGTATTGAGCCCTATTTTTAAATTAATGTTGTGAACGTTTGAATTTATATTTCATTCCGTCTCATTTCATTTGGATTATATATATATATATATATATATATATATATATATATATATATATATATTATAAATTAATTGATTTAAAATATGTTTTTTTTTCGCAACACAGTTCTAACTATGTTTCAAAAATGGAAGCTAAAAGCACTGAATTTAATTTTGTGATTAAATTAAAGACATTAGTTCCATTTCAGCCTCAAGCGAATTTTGGAGTAACTTTTAAAATTACTGGGTTTTAAATAGACAGCTAAAACAAAATTCATGTTTCCAAGGTTACAGATAAATCTATTTTTCTAGACAGGGGTGTCTGGGTGTTCAATATGTCTATATTTTAATGTATCAGTTATTGCTACGTTTTGGTCGTGGGTAGGGATGTATTTTTCAATGAAATTTAACATCCGTTAAAAGCGTGTCGTCTGGATTTTTAAAAAATTATATTGTTAACGGCTAAAATTCTTACGGCATTTTTTTCCTTCGTATTTAAAGATTTTTTTTGGGGGGGTGTTTAAGTAAGAATACTTTTTATCTAACTACGATTTGAAATATTTTTACTTTTAATTTTTAATATACTATATTTCTTTCAAGAACAATTGAGCACTATTTTGCAAAAATAAAAATATCTATTAGAACACCGGATTATATATCTTACTGTTCTTTCTTTTTATATATATATATATATATATATATATATATATATATATATATATGTTTTTAAGCATTTCACCGAGCACACAAGGGGTTACAGAGAGTGGGAGCGAGAGTAAAGAGGCGTGGTAGGGGAAAAGATGACGAGAAGGACAGGGAACAGATCAAGGCATCTGGAGATGTCGATGGACATGACATTTGAATAGTTGGAGATTATAGCTATCAAGGAAAGAAGTAATAGGAAAGGAATTTCACAGACGGGAGGTGCGTGACATGAAGCTATTGGAGTAGAAGAGACGGACACTTTTAACCGTTTCGACTGTGAAAGGGTGGGATCGTGATGCCAGCCTAGTAGCACGCTTAAATTCATGTAGTTTGGGAACTAGAGAAAGTAGCTCGATGGAGTAGTTACAGTGAAATTATTTGTAGAAAAGACAGACGGCACGTCTGTGAGAGAGCGACTGTAGACGAGATGCCAGATCAAGGCCAATCACATTGCATATCCATCTCTGGATTTTGTCGAGGACCTTAAGATGAACAGCGGGGTCACCATACCATATATGGCAGCAGTATTCCATGCAAGGGCGAATGGTTGATTTATAGATTTGAAGGATGGACTCGAGCGAGAAAAAACTTTCTGGCGCGAC